ATGGAAATAATCTATGTTGTCCCAGGGTGTGTGTCCGAGTGGTAAGAGTCGGATATAGAGAGCGAAGGACTGCATTAGCCAAAACATCACCTGTCTTTTTATGTTACGTAGCCATGACAGAGCAGCAGCAACTGTAACAAAAGCAACGAGAAGACAATGCAAAGTCGTGTATGTGCCGGTGAACGACAAGCAAGCAGAAACAAATACAGTGTAGCAAAGCAATTGCCCGCCTACAACCCTTCCGGCAGAAAACCCATCCACCAATCCCATTCCTTCCCTTTCTTGCAGATAAAAACGACCCCCTGAAAGTATTATGCGCGAAGGATACGAACACGGAAAGAAAAGCCACACAAACGACACCGCTACTCCGCTTCCACCACCGCCCTTGTTCCCAATCCTAGACCTTTTATACACTCACGCCTTTGATGTTGTTGACCATAACATGTCCCTGACAAATGTTAAAAAACCGCGCTCAGAACCCTTCAACAATGCCATAGGCCTGGTTCCTGTGATACCCACGACCGTACTTGACAGTTATCTCTTCACCGTCAAACAGCTGCCTGCTGGCAACAATCAGCATCCTCCACTTGCCTTCCATCTTCCTGATGGAAATCTCGCAGGAAGGATGGGCGGAATGCCTCACAACCCGCGCCCAGTTGCCCTGCTCCTTGGAGTAGAGCTCAGCCACGACAACATCGTCAAGATCCGGACGCCGAAACTCCATCGTCCACTCCCGATTAGGGATCGCTCCGGGAGGCACCAGCTCGCCCAACATCTCGCCGATGATGTCATTAGCTCTAAACATTCCCATAACACGCACCCCGCTGCCCTTGCTCCCGTCAATCGACACCCGTGGGATGGCTGGTACAAACCTGGCGTGACAACGACATGACTTCTTCTTCTTACAGACGTTGCACCACTTCTCATGGAGCACAGCTGTCGGGTCCACCGGCCACTGCCAGGACGCCTTCCAGCCCACTGGCTTTGGCCATTCGTATGGCGCATGAGGGTTGAAGACGTTGGCCGTAATGTATTTGTACTGCTTGAGCATCGGCCCCAGCTCCTCGGTCGAGAGGGCAATGGTGTCTTCAGACTCGAAAACAAAGGCGGGCAGTTCGCGGCTCTCCCAGATGCAGCCTTGTAGGGTCTTGCCCACGGCGCACATAGCGCGAAGGAACGGGTCGTTGAGCTGATGGTGAAACATCAGCACCTGGTCCTGAAAGAGAGCCAGCTGCTGAAAGGCTGGATCGGGTGGAATGACGCAGAGAAGGCCGCCGTAGGCTCCGCAGATTGTCTTCCAGCACTTGCCCTCTCGGATGTAGTCGTTCAGCGTGTGCCTCTCAGCTTCGGCCCAGCCAAGCTCCTGGAGCAAGAGATCAGTAGCATCTTGCTGTGCCGGCTGGAAGGCCGGCCTAGCTCGTTCCTGCTCTTCAGCTTTGGCATCGAGCCATTCTGCGAGCTTCATTTTGCAGAACCGACCAAGGAACGTGTTCAGCTCAGGCTCCTCCCCGGCAACGCGGTCGAGGTTGGTGACAAGGTCTAAGCCCGACGGCGTCGGGTTCTGTTCTCGCACACAACGTCTCCAGTCACTGATGAGCCGCGCCAGCCGGTCAAAGCCAGGTCTTCCAGACACCTGCTGCGACTGAATGTTGTTGTACACGTCATCTTGACATGAGCGAAGTAGCGTTGCAAGACTTGAACTGGCATGAGTGAAGTAGCTCGGAGGCATCTCTGGCTCTGGATCTACCCCGAAGGGATCCTCAAAACGCAAGTACTCCATCACGCGCTGTCTCTTTGCCGAGCGAGGGGATAGCGGTTCCGTCGGTGCAGATCTTCTGTTATGAACAAGCCTTGCGGTTTTCCGAAGCGGCTCTGAGCTTGCTTGTCGCGGTGGAGGGAGCAAAGGGAGGTTATGATGATGTGAGAAAGGGGCAGCCTGATGGGTGGTCTGGAAGGGTTGTGCAGAGGCGTCTAGGAAAGTGTTTGGATGGCGCAGGAGCTGTGAGCGAGGTGCCAGGTCTTGTTGTTCTGCGCGGAACACGGCATTATCCCACCCAGGAGCTGGTTCGGATGGAGGTTGTGATCGACGTGGCTCCGATGTCCTTGTGGCAGGTTCAACGGCTACCGGCGGCGGGGCCGCTGGGGGCTGTGGCGATGGGTCGGGTTGCTTAACCGTTTGAGACGGAGTCACCATCCCCGCCTCTGACGGTAACCGAAGGACCGAGCCGAGACTGCTCTCTCGCGGAGGCTGGAAACCTTGAAACGTATGTAGCTTGGGCTCCGCCAACGGCTGGCTTGACGGCTCGCGGCGTTGTACAAGTGCTTCCGGCCGCACCAAGCCGGATTGAGATGGCTCACAGACGGCAGAGGAGCTATGCTCTGGCGGCGGGGTGACAGATTGCGTCAGCTGGGGTGCAGCTAGGGGTGATTGAGATGGTGGTGACGGCTGCTCTGGGGCAGACTGAAACATGGACGACCGTGCTGCCATCCTGGCCTGTTCCTCTTGGTCTGGCCTCTCTCCAGAGAGCCTGGCTTGTTCCTCCTGCGCCGCCAGGCAATTGGGATCACCGTATATGCCAAAGTCGGTAGCCTTCATGGCAAACGGATCGGGGCAGTTCCTGTCGCAGAAACGGTAGTTCGGAGGGTCCTCGGGGGATGACATGTACTCAACATTGACCGCCAGAGCATAGTTCGGACCCAGGTTCAGTACCTGATGGTACGTCCCAGGTTCTGTGACCACCGCTTGGCCGGGGATGCAGTAATCGAGAGTGTACTCGATGCCCCATTCATCCAGTTTGGCTGGTGGGATGTGGCGACTGAGATGACGGACGGCCTGCGAGCATCGGCGCATCTCGGGATACGCGGCCGCCATCCTCTCCTCCAACCTGTCTGAGAAGGCTGGCTTGACAAAGCACCAGAACTTGTGCTGGCCTGACCGGAGGAGATTCTCCGACCTCACATGGGCATCTTCTCGATGCATAGTGGTGATAGTTAGTCCTTCCAAATTGAAGTACACATATTGTGTGTTGATGCCTTCGAGAATGGTCCGGCCTCTCGATTTGAGCCTGTTGCCAGGATGGAGCTCGATGTCATCGAACAGCGGGTTGCCAATGATGTAACCCCGTGTGCCCTTGGGAGGGTTCGCCGCCGAGGTGTTCCAGAGCTCCTTTTGTTCCTGTAAAGTCCACTGCGTCTTTGCCGAAACAGGAAATGGAAGATGCGGAGGCGTGAACCGTTTCTTCTTGCCCGTGTCGACCTTGACTAGTCCCTGCTTGTCGGCCAGATAGCGGAACGAGGTTGCGTGGTCTTTGCTCGGGCGCTCAACCTTTCGTACCTGGAGCGGAGGCAACTCCCTGACCTGGAGCTTGAAATACCCCCTGTCCTTGACGACGGGGTGATTTGAGTACTGTTCGAAGAGCTCCTCGTTCAAGTCGTTGACATCCTGGTACATGCAGTCAAAGAGGGGTGAGGCCTCGTGTGGCTGTACGATGGGTTCATGATAGACGGCTCCGTTTGACAACGTGATGCCTCGGTCCTGTGGCGTCTGACTCTTGCTGGCCTGAGCTTTGCCTCGCGACTGTGTCTCAGTCTGACCTTGATCCTTACTCTCCGTCTGACTTTGAGGGCTCAATGGACTCCGAGGGGTGAAATCTGGCTGTGGCTGTTGTGACTGATGAGGATGCTGATTGGCCAAGGCAGGTGATGGTGATGCAGGCTCTGAGTTATGGGTCGGTGGTGTATTCGGCTTAGAGGGTACTTCCACCGACACAGCCGGAGGTTCGAGTACCCGTGAGGCTCCAGATGGGTGTCCCGCATGGTGGACAGGAGCGAGGCTGCCGCTCCCATTGGTCTGAGGCGGGAGGGGTTGCGATAGTGATGGCGCGAGAGGTTGTGAAGGCTGTCGTGAGGATGCCTGTTCCTGGTTTCTCAGCGGTCCATCATCTGGTAGCCCGTTCGGTGGCAAAACTGGATGGGAAGCTGGTGAGTTGTAAGATACCGGAGTATCGGGGCCTCTGGCTGGCGGAGGCGTGTTGTGTGATGAGAGCTGCTTATCGACACCTGTGGACACTCGATCGAGACGGCCCAAGATGTCTTCCATAAACTCCCGTCCGCCTTTCGTTGTCGGGCCTTTGACTTTGCGGTTGTGCAGAAGGATCTTATCGTCGAGATAGTCTCTCAGAGCATCTCGGATCAGGCGCAGCTCGCCGCCGATCGCGTCGGCCTCGAGCTGCACGGCGGCCATTGTCGTCTTCACAGTCTGGTGCACTGCTCCATTCATCAAGCTGGAGAATTGTGGATGGAATGGCTTGATTGCTTTGCTACTGCACTGGCCCGTGCTGGTGCTGGCTGCCCGCTGCCCTTTGGCACTTTGGCTGGGGTCTTGGGGCTAATTGAGGGGCTGGGCAGTAGACAGGCCAGAGGGGGTTCAGCTTTAGCTAGTGCGTGCGAGGTGGGGCAAGTGTCTTTGACCATGAACCTTTTGGTTCTCGATGGCAGCAATCCATTGATCAAGAAATCGATGCATGCTTTGTTGGAGAATCTGGGGTTTGTTCTCTTGTTCCGCAAACAGAGTTCTCAGAGTTGCCGCTGCTGCTGGACCTTTGTGGGCGATTCGCCTCGCATCACAGGTCCCCTGATGCTACCTACCTGCAGTTCAAGTTTAGCAGGGCTATGACAGTACGTTCCATTGAACCTGAGTTTCAAACCCCTGTTCGGTTTTGCCTGGGGATTGATGAGATGGCATTTGTAAGATAGCAAGAGTGTATGTTCATTTTTCACATATCTTCCATTGTTTATAGGCCAGAGGGCCAAATCAAAGCTGGTGGTTGAAGGGGTGTTGCATAAGAAACGATGTTTGATGCCGTTGCCAAGGCAGGACTGATAAGATAAACGAGATATATGCGATAAGTGCCTGATAAGGATCACAACTGGCTGAGCCGCAACTGATCGGTCTGGCACACACCACCCAGTGAACTCCCAATGCGCGAGGAGGCTCAGCAACCTGCTCCGCCAACCGACCACCTCAAAATTCCCTTCCGCCTTACTCTTCATCAGTAATGCTGTTTTGTTAGGGTTTGCGCCCTCTATTCTTTATTTCCTTCCCACTCTGATGGATGGCCTTCGTCAGCTTTTCGCATTCTGGAAAGGTTGAACACACGGCAAACATGGCAAACGATACCTTACTCACAGATGACTATGTGGCGGGCTTGTTGGCAAAGGAAGCCAGCGATGCCTCCATCAAATACTCGTCAGTCGGTCTCGAAGCTTTCCGATCTTCCAAGTATGTTTCACCGCAACCTCCATCGTCATGGCCATCTCATCAGGACCACCCATGCTGACCGTACGCCCAACGACCAGGCCGGCGAACAAGGCGAAGCCCAATACCAATTTTCTCGGGCGCATAATAAAGGAGACTGCGAATCACAACAAGGCCCTCCTTGCAAAGGAAGCCGCTGAAGCCCAAGCCCGGCTCAACCACCATACCGCGGTCGAAGAGAGGAAGCGACAGCGACTCAACCCCACCAAGTCTGACATTCGGCGCCGCCAACTTGGGGCTATATCTTCCATTTTGCAGGGTCGCAAAGGAGGCGAGAGTAGCCATACCAAAAGCGATCGAGACAGCACCAAGGAAAGGAAGAGTGACAGAAAAGACCGCCACTCGGCCTCAACCAAGACTGAGCCTTCCCAGAGTCGCGAGTCCAAGCATGGCGACGAGAAAGATCTCGAACGGTCCCACCGAAGGGTTGACGACGACACAAAGCGCTCACATCACCGACGGCACGAAAGGTCACGGTCCCGCTCTCCTGGGCACAGAGAACGCAGAGAGCGACGACACCGGGATCGCTCCCCCCTCAGCAGCGAGCCGGAGGACAGCCATCGCCATCACTCCAGGCCGCATGGAAGGAGGTCAGGGAAGGACGGTAGAGACCGTGGCTCTCATTCACATAGGCGACACGAACATGACGAGCGTGACGAGAAAGATCAATCACGGTCCAGTCGGCATTCCAGGCCGCATCGCCATGTGGACGAAGAGGACTCCGATCCCCTGGACGAGCTGATAGGCCCAGCACCTCCCTCTCAAACGTCGGAGCCGCCAGTTCGTGTCCGAGGAAGAGGCGCCGGTGCTCCTAGAAGGGGCGCCGCGGCGATGGATAGCCGGTTTGCGGAGGACTACGATCCGAAGAACGATGTGCCGCTGGATGACATCCTTAAGCAGGACACGTCCAGCAGCAACACCTGGGACTCGGCTGTGGAGTTGTTCCGGGACAGGCAGAAGTGGAAGCAACAGGGTGCTGACAGACTGCGGGCTGCCGGGTTCACAGAGGAACAGATCAAAAAGTGGGAAAGGGGTGGCAAGGAAAGTGAAAAGGATATGTTTGACTCGGTCAAGTACACCAAGAAGGGTGAGCAGAGGGAATGGGATAGGGGGAAGAGCCACAGCAATTCGGATATGGATTTGGAGTAACGGGTGTGGTCATGGGGCTTTGAACACGACGAGTGCACGGTAGCGGGGTTTCTGCGTGTTTTCTTTTTTCTTTTCTTTTTTCTTTTCTTTTTTCTTTTTTTTCTTTTCTTCTTTTTTTCTTCTTCTTTTCTTGTGCTTTTCTTGTGCTTTTCTTGTGCTTTTCTTGTGCTTTTCTTGTGCTTTTCTTGTGCTTTTCTTGTGCTTTTCTTGTGCTTTTCTTGTGCTTTTCTTGTGCTTTTCTTGTGCTTTTCTTGTGCTTTTCTTGTGCTTTTCTTGTGCTTTTCTTGTGTGTTTTTTTGCGCATCGAGGTTCTGCATATACTGGACGGCGTTTGGGTGAGGCCAAATCTGATTTGTTTTGGAGGAATCAGTTGGTTGCATGGAGCAAAGGCGATGATTTCTTGTTTGTATCTTGTGTAGAAAGGCTTCATTGGGAAGTGGCTATGAATAATCGACGAGATTGATGATACCCGACATGACATTTGACTTCGGATGGCAAGATCGGAAAGTGCATATTCGTCTTGCGAAGTGCTGGCTCGAGATTTTTATGTACATGTCAGTCAACATATGAACCGAGCCGTTCTCGTCTCACACTGCCTTCATGTTCCCTTAATTTGGTAGAATCAGCTTTTTGCCCGTTCCCATTCTCCATACTGTGCCCATGACAAATTCAGTATATTTACACATCTCTTATCGCCATCTCACATCCCCCTCTTCTCTCAGCACACACTACCGACTCCCCCAAGCAACCTTCTCCCCCCTCTTCGTCTTCAAATCCCCCTCCTGTTTCGTCTCCACCACCGGCGCCTCCTGTTCCGGCGCAGCAACGGCAGCAGAAGCATCCACCACCTGATCCGCATCGCTCTCGTCATTCGTCGCCCACATCCTCTCAATACAAAGCTCAAACGGCCCCGGTATCCTATCCGTCAACCCCACCCCAATACTCTTGACCTTTTGCCTCAAGATCTCCGTCTGCGGCTCTACCACAAACCCGTGGTTCGTCCTGACGAAATTGTTCCACTTGATCAACACCGTCTCCCACTCCCCCGGCTTCTTGACAAACAACCTGTGCTGATGTAGATCCGTCGGTACAATCGATTCTGTCTGCACATTGACAAAGTAACTCCTCCCGTCTGATTTGACTCGCAATGCGAGGTAGATGTACGGATCGATGTCCCACAGTCCTCTGGTAAAGAGATTACGCGGCCGGTCTTGTGTTCGAAACGCGGCATACCCCGTTCGTTTGATATCTGGTCGGTCGGCTGGGAGGTGGGTGGAGATGTTGCCGTAGAATTTGGCGTAGCCGGGGGAGTTGGGCGATGGGAGCTGGGAGGCGGGGACAGAGCCGGCTGGGGGGGCGACGATCCAGTCGAGGTGGGAGGTGGAGAGGCCGCCGATTTCGTCGTCGGACATGACTTTGCAGTCTTCGATGGAGGAGGGGGTGCGGAAGTCGAAGAGTTCGCGGGGACCTTGGGGGCCGGTGACACCTTCCATTTTTATGGCTGGGTTCGGGGGGGGGGGGGGAAGGAGGGGAGGTTAGTGATGATGTGGGAGTGGGGAGGTTGAGATCAT